TTTCAAATCGATTCCGATCGATTTAATTAGAAAGACATTTAAGGCTCAACTGAACTTCCTAATGACCAAGCTCGGCAAACCACCAAGATGATAGATTTAATTTAACTTTCATTAACCGACACAGAGGATTGCACAAGTAAGATTCTACGTTTGACGTAATTGACATGAACTATTAAAATCAGTTCGAGTGCTTCGATCCAGTTAGTACTGATATTACTGTATTTACACAAAGCTAATCAAAGCATATGCATTTTCCGCTTTAAAGCAAGCAATAGCAATATAGTGTCCTACTGCCCATCCTTAAATACCCTAAACGATGTCGGACAGCTTGTTATAAGAGAAGTGCTTCGATCTGAATCATTTTCAATAGTCCTCAATAGCCAAATTTCATTGAAATATGTCAGAAATTGCGAGCGGAATACACACACACAGACGGACGGGCAGATTAGCCTAAATCGATTAAGGAAGTGATTCACATCCTTTCGGGGTTTTCATACATCCACATCAAATTCACATATTCTTATCTGACAAGTGATGTAGGATATTGAGATGCATTGTTTTTTGTCGGCCAATGTCTATTAAAATTTGAATGAATGCACTGCAGGACAAGCTGACCTATAAAACTGTTTTTTTTTTAGGCAACCTTTGGAATTTAACGCCTGCATCTGTCAAAGAAATTTAATCAAATTTAGAAACGCATTGAGTTACGACTTAGATGCAAGCGATAACGTGCGGTCCCTGATTTACAAGACAGTCCTGCGGCGCCTAAGAGAGAACGCCTAAGCCAAAGCAAGTGTGGCTGTATCGAGCAGATTGGAAATCCGTTGCCCCCCCAAACATATTTCTGCATCCATTGAGAACAATATACGGGCCTCCTTTGCGCGTGCGTACTACCAAATTGGGCGTTCTGATTCCTGTAGCCCGCACAGTGCACACTGTAATGTTTTTGAGTTGTCGGCATTAGACGGTATTGCCACCTATCCGGGACTGCCATCCAATGTTTTCCCCTAATGGATTTTGACAAGTGGACAAGGAGAAGTATCAGGCCAGGAATAGCAGTCGTTCACACTATTACTGGCTTCAGTCTGCAAGCGGGCGACTTGCAATACATTATTCTGGATGAGGATGGAGAAAGGCATTTACATGATGATGGAGAAAGGCATTTACAGCTGCGAATTTCTTAGAAATATCAGAGCGTGCGGTATCTCTGCGGTAAAACTGTGACTTATGCACGAATGCATATAAAATCGCATTGATTGAAGCTTTGAAGACAAGCAATCATGAAATTATATTAAAGAAAACATTTCGGTTTTTATTGCTTTTCTAGCAATTGCTACTATTTGATCACATATCAAGACATTGAATGCAGTTACGTCCTAAAATATTTAGCATTTCACAGCGTATTTGTTCACTTTACAAAGGCGATTAAGTTAATAAAGATGTTCAAGCCAATCAATTGCATGACTCTAACGAATAATTTTACCAGGAATCGTCTGGAACTACGTTGTAAAAAATCGAGTCCTTAAAAGCAAACCTCATCCAGCCACATCCCCAAAAGAGAAGCTTGAGTTTATTGGGGGCGTTAAACATTCAAAATGCCCGCTTTTCTTATTTGAAGATGCAACAAATCATTTATACGCTTAAGAAAGAAATGCATATTTTCTATAAAGCCGATAACCTCAGATGCTAGTGCTTTAAGACATTAGTCGTTGAATTTATTTCTCTTCTTAAGTTAATTACAATAATAATAAGAAGAATCATTACACTTTACGTAAGCTATTACATTTTATATGTAGTTGTTGACTAAGAGCTCAATATATCATCGAACACAACAAATGTAATTTCCGGTCTTTATGTTTTTCTTTAGTAATTTCATTGCTATTTTTCTGCCCATCACTGAAGAATTAGGAGTATATTCATTTCGTCACCGCGACCCCCCAAAGTATACACATTCTTGATCAGCCTCAAATTCTAAATCAATTTATATATGTCCGCCTGTCCGTCTAAGGTGAAGATTCTCCTGCCTGCAAAAATGAAGCTATCGGCTTCAAATTTGGCACAAACAGTGAAAGTTCTTGCACGCAGGAAGGTATTGAAAATGGGCTAAATAGGTCAAACGACCCACCCACAGTACCACGTAAACTGAAAACATCTCCGCTTTGCAAGAGAAAGAAAAAATTGGTTTTTTCCTCATTACGCATAAACTATACCAAGAGAATGTGCAACAAATTCTAACGCATATTCTATGGGCGTGGTTGTAGCATCTGTGCGCAAAAATGGGAAAAATTCACCACACTTACCGAAGCTTCAAAACCCCTAGTATATAAAGTATATAAATTCTTGACCAGTTTCAAGTTTGCAATGTCCGTCTGTTCGTCCGTCCATATGTCTGTTTGTGCAACTTTGTAGCACTTGCAGTAAACATTCTCCCGCCTACAAATTTGCAAAACAATTTTGAATTGATCTAAACTTTTCAAAGGACACGCCTATAATGCCCACATGCCTATACAAAAAAAAAAAAACTTTTATTTTAAAGACAAAAAAAATCAACCGCGCCCACTCCATACTATACAGCATGGATATATTGTTCTTTTACTTCTCTTATCATTTTTAGGATCACGGTGATAGGTATAAATAATTCGGTGTCGACCGAATTTAATTTTCTTACTTGTTATAAATAGTGGTATCTTCTTCTTTTTGCCTCCTTGTCAAGCAGAAAAGTATATATAAATATATGATAATCTCCAATTTGTAGCATGAAAGGTGTTAATTATATAACAATTAAAAATTTTTAAGTTTGCCTATCTGGGGTAGTGAATACATTTGAAGCAATTTTTCGGTAAATTGATTTTAATAGAAATTTGTTTTTATTTCTTATTTCATTTTTCCTGAAATTTATGTTTTTGTTTACTTAATAGTTTTACAAAAAAATTACTTTTACGTTTTACAAAACGAAACTGGTTTTATTTTCTATAGTTAGTTACATATAAATTTTGTAATTATTCCCCGATTCTTAAATTATATGAATATATGAGTGTATGGAACAATTTATATACAGTGTAATAAGCGTAGATGAACTGATGCAAAGCAGTTTTATGCAGTTGTCGGCAGTTATAGGCGCATCTTAAGAACCAGCTACAAAAGTGATTCAAACAAATTTATTACAGAACAATCTATGACATGCACACACAATCATATATTAAATTATAAAACTAAGTAATTAAGTTTAATAATGATTACTGCTTAATATCATGTAATGTTAATTAACCTTAACTAAGAATATTTTAGGAATTTATCTGCTCGCATACAGCATAGCCCACAGAAAGACATAATTGAACTAAAAATCTATGTGCTATGATTGCCTTTTTTTTAATAATTTTTTTTTTTTTTTTTTTTTTTTTGTGTTAAAAAAAAATTAATGAAAATTTATATTTTCATTTTAACAAGTTTTCATATCAAAGTAACGCACACGGTTTACAAGCGATGCTAATTGAACAAATATTACAAAAAAAATTTGCACATATAAAAATAAAGAATCTACCACTCCCATCCTTTATAAAGCACAGAATCAAGTTTAAAAAACTCCATAGAATATATATACATTCTTGAGCCATATCAAATTCGGAATGCACCTAATTATGTTAGTTTGCTAGTCTGTACATCTATCCGTCCTCCCGACTACGTAGTATCTGTGGTAAAAATTCCCTAGTTCGAAAAAATGGAAATATCATCTAAAAGGACACACCCACAATGCTAGAAAAACTAACAACACCTTTGCTCACCGCATTTTTTGCTTGTTACTCATAGACTACAACAGTTACACGATATCAATTTTCCCTTTTCGGCTACAAAAATAGACAAACCGAATAACGCTTATCGTACATTATAGAGTAAGGATATGATGTTTTTTCCTTTCTCTTTACCATTTTTATCAAATATCATTTTCTTACTTGTTTAGGCACTTACGTAACTTGCGTATCATATTGGATTCACTTGCATCAGTTTGCCACATATTCGCCTTATTCTTATCCTTAGTTGCTTTTGATTCGCATCGCTGAGTTTTGAAAGCAAACTAATAGTTGAGATATTAAAATTCAAACGCACCTAATCGAAATTTCACCTCGTTTTCAACTCGTTCCATCAACCAACTTCATGGGCCGAATCTAATTTGCAAATTTTCATCACTTTTCTTCAAATTTCCCTCAGAGTATACGTTTCGAAATTTATTTATAAAAAGTAAAATGAAAACTGAGATACCATACTAGGATTAACAAACTAAGATGGATGGATCTTATCAATTATAAGCTTACTAGGCTGATGAGAAACATTTCCACGTGGCTTCAATAGTTTCGATAAGTATTTCCATAAGATTTGCGGTACAGAGTTAATAAACGAATTACTTTCGCAGCAAACTTTAATTTGCATTTGCTGTTTGTGAGGTTATGTCGCCATAATCTGCTAAATATGTATACAGTTTTCATCGGGCATTTATATGCCAAGTGCAATGTTTCTACCCTACATTACTTGTGGTCCAAGGATATATTAAGTTTGCACGCAACACGCAAACGAACTTGACATAGATCAACCCTTAATTATGCCGATCAATTCGGAATCGCTTTCTGAATCGATATAAGCGTAGTCTATCCGTAGTCTATTTTTCAGATATTTTGATGTAATTCGATACACTCACATATATGGAGCACAAGAGCGAACGCTATTGAAAATTATTCGTATTGTACTACTTCTTCAAACACCTGGCATTTCACGCCATTTATTTTGAAAAGTCTATTGGGTTATGTAAAGTATTTAATAGTGAACGATGGCTGACTATAGTATTTTTACTTGTTTTGAGGTAAAACATTTATACACCTAAACAATACTGTTTAAGACATTCAGCGCTAACAGTTGTTTTATATAAGTCTCAATAAATACCAGCTTATATGCGAAATTGAAAAATTTTGTTAGCAGTGGGCATGGGAGTGCTATTTGCTTGTAAACAATTGGAGAGGACACCTGTTAATAGTTAATTAGCTTTGTGCCGGTTTTGTGGGAAAATTCATAGCAGCTTATTAAGTGATAACGTATTCTTATCAATAAGGAATGGGAATAAAATAAGCAAAGATTATGTTATAAAATATATACATATGATAGCCAGTTTGCTCTATTCTCTGGGGGTAAACTGAAAAAATGCCGAATCGAGATTTCGTAGTTTTCTGAAAATTCAACTGGGAAATTCAACTTTCAAAAAAAAAATAAAAAAAAATTACGGAGCCTGTCTACTGAAAATTCCCATTAAATATCGAACTTAAATTCCAAATCAATAAACGTTTAACTCAAGCCCTCCCCATAAATCTTTGCGGAAATCTATGCACAATCAAAATTATTCAATGGTAAAAAAGATATACATTTCTCAATTAGACAATAAATTTCATATTTTTTAACCTCTCTGTTCTTTATCAAAGTTTTGTGTGTGTGCGCAGAATCACTTTGCCACATCCTTCCTAACTCCCAAAGACTAACATGTAAACAAATAAATGATAGAATTCTTCATTTCAAGAGGAAAATGTTTTAAGTAACATATTTGACGACAATAATCAAATATTGAATTAAAACTTGTTGAAAACGAATTGAGAAAAGTGCTTTCGAACAATATAAAAAAACTATTCATATTTTCAGCAAAATCGAACGGCAATCTAAAAATAAAAAAAAAAAATGCTAAACGCATTTCGTCGAAAATTTCGTATAGCATTTCAGCGTACCGTTGTGTTGGCCGTAATGGCAGCTATTTTTGTCCTAGGATACTCATATATCAATTTGGAATTTTGCTATAAAATTATGTCGCAGAATAGTTTAACGTATATGGTGAGTGCGAATAACTTGAACTTGCAATTAAATCGAATACAAGAAATAAAGCGAATTCTCTAGTGTAAGAAATACAAGAATTTGGAATACAGTGGCTCGTTGTGCGAGGAGTTGTGCACCAATGAAGATTCTTTTCGAGACTTCAAATGTCCGCAAAATGAAATGCGTACAACGGTCTTTACGGCCGAGAAAAATGGTGACGTTTACGCTATTAAGGTAAGACATTGTTGTAGTTTAAATTAATGAAAAACATTTTTTTTTTTTTTTGTTTAAATCATTTTAATGATACATATATGTATATATATATATGTATATATATAGCTGTCAAGGCATATTAAAGATGATCTCAGCTGGACAAATAGTCTTGGTAATCAAGTTTATCCAAAAATTGAAAATTTTCATCGCATTGTTAAAATGCATATAACTTTAAGTTATAATGTTACCTTAGACGATAATATGGTATAAGTATTACTAAACATTTATTAATTGCAAACATCTAAACATCTAAATAATTTAATGTTTTTTTTTTTGTTGCACACAGATACGCGCTTTAGTTAATCAGGAAATTGATAAAAATAATCCCCAACAAATGTTTAATTTCTGGCGACTATTTAAGGACAATAACTACATGATGAGCAAATTGTTTGATGAGGAAAATCTATTTCCAACAATATTGGGTTCCTGCGGTCCCTACTATGCAACCGAAAATTTAAACATATTGAAAACTGATCAAAGTTTATTGCAATATTTGTGCGTCATAATGCATATTTAAATGGAAAATAATTTGAGAATAATAGTTGCTTTCTTTTTCTTATTCTTCTTCTTCTTCTTCTTCTTCTTCTTCGTTACAGATCATTTGATTGGCATAAACGCTTAAAGTTCGCTTTAAGCATTATGGAGTATATATTTCGTTTGGATGAGATTAAGCCGGAACCACTGAAAATGTGCAAAATGAAACTAAATTTATTCGGTTTAACCAGTGACAAGCGGTAAAATTGCCTATGCAATTAAATATTCGGCTTAAGTCGAATTTCATATACTTTATATATGTATACGATAATGAATTGTAAAAATTAATTGAAGCTAATTGAGCTTTCGCTCGATAGATGGTAGCTTATGAAATACCCTATATTCGACATATATATAGGTTTGTAGGGAGTTTGTAGGTAGGTATTTTCGTACGATTTAGCGACAGCTACACGAGATAGATAAACTAAAATTCATATTTACATAGTTCACATTTATTTACATACTCGATATTTTGACATTTGTAAGCAGAATCTTGGTTTGTTTGAGCTTAACTTGATGAGAGTAAGAAGAGAGTAAGTGTAAGACAAAGTTTTTGCACCTTGAATAATCGCAATTGCAACAAAAAGCGAAACGAACAGGCTTGAATTATGTAAAACAATTTCGTTACTCACTCTAATCAATTTTATATATATGTATGCATTGTAGCCACTGCCGTTGCGGCTGCGAACTGTATGTGTGTTTATGATGAATCAAACATGCCCTCTTTGGCATGTTTTGTTTTTTTTTTTTCATTCATTCGTTATTGCTGCATCAAACGCTATAGTCGATCTATATGTGCATGATTTTCCATCATATAAGATATTGCCCTGAATCCCTGAATCCTTAGTAGTCGGCATAAAATGGCTACACTTTTGTGGTTTACATTTTTATTCGCCTGATTTGTCGAGTTTCTATATCCTATACCTACAGTAGTGCTGTAAGGGTATATTAAGTTTATGCGGATATATATAACATCCAGAAGAATTTGAGATAAACCCACTTTTTACTGCAACGATCAATTCAGAATCACTTTCAGAATTCAACCAAGCTTGTCGGTCTATTTTGTTTTTTTTTTTTTTGCTTTCTACCTGCAAGCCGCAACTGTTGAGATTTTTTGATGAAAAAGTGAAGTGCATTGGTCCAAGAACGAATGCTATTGAAAGTGATTCCGATCGGATCACTTTTTTGATCCTTCCTCATATAACCTCTTGTGTTGAAAAATTGTTATTTGAATAACTGTACGACCGAGTTATATATGGGATATTTATTTATATAGAAATTAAATTATTATTTACAGCAGTTATTTATTTATATAGCAGGCCGTGGTCGACTATAGACTTTTTACTTGTTTTTTTTTCTTTTTTTTGTAAAATGTTCATTTACTTGTTAGGGCTTTCTATTTTTGGAATTTGCATAATTTAGGTCTTAGTGGTGATTTCATGTGTAGGTTATCTTAACTACTTTCAAGTCATCGATTTATTAAATCGATAGGGACTATCCGCTTTAGGCGAACATCTTTCTTGGGACATTGACAGCATACCTGGTAGCACTTTCTTCAATTGCTTCTCTTATTACTAATATATTCAAAGCCCTATTTATATTTGCATTTGTAGCGTACCGCGTAAAAGCTGTTATCACACACAAAATCTTCGATTATCTTCTTTAAAATATTGCTTGGTTCGAGGTGAACCGTAACTGATTTCTATAAGATCATATTGTTGTAAATAACGCTCAGCTTTGAGTTCGAGCTCAAAAGCTGTCAATTTTAATCAAGCGCCGACGTTTGTAACTCCCAAGCAGGACTTGAGATATATTTATCTATCGATCAATCTAGAAAATGATTGCTAAGTTTGCCTACCCGCATTGTTTCTTTACGTTCAGATTGCAAGTTTGTGGGATATTTTAATCAAGTATGGTGCCCTAATGTATTTTGGCCCAAAGGACGAAAACTAACTGGATAATAATAAAATCTTTGACAAATGAATTGGTTTTGCTTCGATCCGAGGACTTTCATTTTACTATTCTCGACTATAGCATTCTGACCTGTTCTTCGTTAACAATTAAAATGTCAACAACAATAGATGACGTTGAATAAAAGCCCAAATTATCTTAGACTCTTTCCTAAGATCTTCCTTAAGTATTTTTGAAAACATTGAATGCATTGAAATGCCCTCTCATCTACCCCTTTAAAAAGGTGGGAAGTGAGTTTTATTTTTCTATTACAAATCGTCATCGACTCTAGCTCTTAATTGTATACATTAAACCAATAAATTATATGTAGTTTAATTGCAAACAAATATTGTCGACCTAGTCATTGTATAAATTTCAATTTATTTTTGTATTTTTATTTCAATAGCATTAAATATCAATCGGCTGAATATGTGCAAGTTGAAAGTCAACTGGACCGCCATTTGTCTAACGGTCAAAATTGCGAGGAGGATAGCGATTGCAATTGGCATTCGTGTATGGGTTTATGTGATCACAAAAAGTCTCAATGCATTGGTATCCAACAGAATAATAACATGCAGATCTTTTGCGATCATATACTAAGAGGCGGCGGACTTTTTCCGGGACTTTTAGCTTCGGCGAAGACTCCTAAAACGTTAATGAAACTTGTCAAAAATTGCATAGATCCTTCGAAATCGCCCAACTATCATCTGCCCGAAAGACCCCATGCGGCGAACACAGAATTGGCATTACGTTTATATAATGAAATGAAACGTTTACAAAAAGCGGCCAGCAATAGAGACAGAACTTAAATAAGTGCAAATGGAGAGGCCGCATATAAATGCAAAGACCTTATTGTTCTCCTGAGCATTCCTTATAACAAAAAAAAAAAAAAAAAAAAAAAAAACAGAAAAGAGAATAGTACTTTAAAAATATGAACTGGAATACCCTCCTTTGGAAATGATGATGAAAATTTACTTGCGAAACTAGAATGTAAACCTAAAGAAGAAATTAATTTTAAACTTAGAACATATACCTCCAGTGGAAATATGTATATATCATATGCATTTTGTTATTTAAAAAATATTAAATAAATAAAAAACATTTCTTTTCGAAAAATGTTAAAAAAAAAAAAAAAACATTTCTTTCTTACGGCAAAACAAATACAAACAATATCAACAATACTATTCGTAAACATACACTTGTTCATATAAACTTAATAAGCTCTTTTAACACAAGTGATGAGAGGGTAGAAAACAATAAAAATGGAAAAAGCAGCAACTCTGCCCCTGCCTGGTGTATTAGAATCGCAAAACTTAAACCTAAACCTAAACCTATTTTATCCAATTTCATTATCGATGTCTTGCGAGTAGTGACTAGAAATCTCCCAGATTTTGATATTCTGTTTTTATCCTTTACACATGGTATTATAACTTAAACTATTAAATGGAACAAGCTGAACCAATGCAGAAAGTCGGATCGGTTAACGGTCCTCATTATTGAACTAATATATATTAGATTTCGGGTTCGTTGCATTTACAACCGAATTTTTTGATATATATATATATATATGTTAAAACATTGCGAAGAAGAATAGGAAGAAAAGCGAGCAACTAAACAAACGAAATGTAAAATAAAAAAAAAAACAAAAATATTGGAGAAATAAATACGTTTTAGATAAAAATATCAAAACAAACTGAAGCGAGTAAATATATTTGAACAAAAAAATGCGAACTTTAGTGTAAGAAAAATAAAAACAAGTAAAAACATTATAGTCAAGCAAGGCCGACCATTAAATACCCTACATCACATTGTCTAACACAAATTCTTTCTTTATTATACAACACAAGATTTATATCTTATTCCTATATAAAGGCATATTGGGAAGCGGACTTCGAAACGCAACCTAATATAGTACAAATTTAATCCTTACAAGAAATCAAAAATAGGCGTACATGGTGCAAAATTTTGTAGAGTTCATTTTTGTATGAAATTACTATACTATTGTGGGTCAATTTCCATCATCACATATTAAAACTTTGACTTTTCTGCTCTAAAAAGGATCAGTTTTCGTGAAAATCCTTATTAGGATAGGATCCAAAAAATAGGCCGAGATGGTCCAAATTTAGCGCAGTTAGTTTTTTTATATTAAATTACTATCATAATATAATTTGCAACGTGAAGCGTTGAACTTCTGCTTCCATTGTATGAGAGGGTTTTCAAAAATTGCCCCAGCCGGTCCAAAGTTTTCATACCAATTTAGAATGCCGAGCCACTTTTGCCGAGAAATTTTAAAAATTACAGTTTTTTTCCATATAACGATTTTTTAGAATAGGGCGTTATATAGAAAGTAGTCGAGAAAATGGCCCGATCTGAATCATTTTTAGTAGCGTTTTTCCTTGAATAAAAACACGTCGCTGTACCAAATTTCATCAAAATATTTCAAAAATTACAATCTGTAACTTAAAAACAAACCTACAAGGACGGAGATCGGACGGACAGACAAGCTTAGATTAATTCAAATTATAACTCTGAATTGATCGGTATAATAAAAGATGAGTCCATCTTAAGCCCATTTGCGTGTTACATACGACCGCACTAACTTACTATAACCTGTACCGCCAGCATTTTTGTTTTAATGCGGTAAAAACAATGAATACTGCCACACTTCCAAGATACTTGTCAATCCTATATTCTAGTAATTGTTCATAATATCCATTCTTTGTCGTTCCCAATAATATTTTCGTTAATTCCATATTCATTTATCTCTCTTGAGGTAGGTTATTATGTTGTCAATGGAGAAAGAAGAAGTTGCCACTAGAGACATATTCATAAAGCTATTTTGTGAGAAAGTAACTTTGTCTATCTTGCGATAAGCAGTTTAAAGCAGTTCCCGAAACTTAAAAACCTATTAACAATAATAATAAAGACGAGCATTGTAAGAAGTTCTCCTACTAAAGCGATCCGATCCATTCAAAGAGCTTCAAAACATAAACAAATAAGAAAATGGTATTCGGCGGGGGCCAAATCTCGCACACCCATCACTATAATTTTCGTAATCTACTTTCCAAGCTCTTTTGGTATTATTAAGAAAAGAAAAGTTAATCGCTGGTTTCATTTTAGAATTAACCCATGTTTAGGCAGATAATATATATTCATTTCTGAAATGTACAAAATGGCTTGGCATGAGCATAGTGTTAGTGTTTCGTAAATTAGATGTGAAAATTATTTGAGTAACGTGAAAAAAACTCACAAATTTTTTTTAAGAAAAACAGGGTTGTGTCCAGTTTATGTTGCACTACGGGACACTGCTCTGACCAATTTCGCCCATTTTCAATGGCAACCTGTATGCAAGAACTTTCAATATTTCTGCCAAGTTTGAACTCGATAGCTTCATTTTAGCGGCCAGAGGAATATTTACAATAGACGGACAGACAGACGGATACGCTTAAATCGATTTAGAATTTGATGCTAGTCAAGAATATATGTACTTTGTCGGGTCTCTGAAGCTTCCTGCTAAGCGTTGCGAACGTTTTGACAAATGAATATACACTTCATTCTTTGGCGATCGATTTAAAAATAAAACAAAAAAAGCCAAAAACACTCCCGATCAGTAATAAAGGGTGATGAGTACTCGATATTCGTTTGATATTGAATACTACATTACCCGCAACTGAAGAGTTAATTTAATTGAAGTGTTAATTTTCTTCTTCTTCGTCTTCTGTCACATGGAAAGATTTTACGATTTTACGTTTTTCTTTTCTTTTTATTTTTTAATTTTTTTGCTTTCAATTTTTTCATTTTTTTTTTTTTTTTTTTTT